GAAATTACATTCAAAATTAAGACCAGTGACTTCCAAACTATTTACTTTCAAACGCATTCTAACTATTTTCTTTGCCATATTCTATTTGTCTTAACGACACTATTTAAAGGCTAAAAATATTATTTATATGAGGGGCTTTTCGGGATTGAAATTTTTACTAATTAAATTTTTAAATTAAGTAAGAACACTTAAATATTAGAGTTAAATTGAAAACCAGAACCAACTAATTAATTTGAGTGCGTCGAAAATTGTCTTTAATTTATTAAAACTAATTTAATTAGTGATTATACAAATGCGAAAAATCTCCTCACACAAAAAAATAAGAAATTAATTTTAAGTTCTTGTACAATCGCATTTCTTTTATCAAAACTATTTGAATTCTTTAAAACAAAAGTTTAACAAACCAAAACGGGTGACCATGCTATAATGTTCCCTTCTTATATTTCACTTAACATAGTTTTCTGCATTTCCCCACTCACATTTTTTTATATTTACGTAGCTGTACGTTTTTTTCCCCCTTAAAACTCCTTTTATCTTAATTTCAGCTGTTATAAAAGATTTTCTGTCCCTCAAATCGCCAAAAATTACAGAGAATGAATCTAAATTAATATTTCAATACAAATAAAATTAATTCAAAAGTCAATGTTGCATTGCAAGCAGATGACAATAATGACAAATTCGGCAAGAATTGCAATTTATTTCAAAAATTCTCTTTATAAACTACAAAGTTCTCTCCTCCCATTTCCTCTCATAATGTTTTAAATGAGAATATTGTCAATTTTTTTTTTCCTGCAGCTACTTATTGTCCTAGTGAGTGAGTTTTTTTAATTTATGTTTAAAAAGAATTTAAAAGAAAGAACAAAAAAGAAAAATAAGAAAAAAGTTTCATTTTTCATTTCTGTCGCTCTCAATTTTTTTATTTTATTATTTGTTTTTTTCGTTCCATTTACTCATACTTTTTTGTATCTCTTTCAAACTTTTTTTATTATTGTAGTTTATAACAATAAATTTCGTCCTTTTTTTGTTTTGTTCTTCTTCACTTTCCTATATACACTTTTATTTTTCTCCGTTTTTTGTTGTTTCTACAAAAAAGAAAACTTTTTTAGATTTTATTGTTTTCTCTTTTTTACTTATTGTTATTATTATTAAACATTACGAAATTCGTCCTTGTAGAATTCGAACAAAAAAAAAACAAAACACGAAAAAACAAAAGTTTTTCTTTCTTTTTGCTTTATTTTTTAGGTAATTTTAAAAAATAAAGGTCGACACAGGTAATTAAATTTGGTAATTTTAGAAAACAAAAAGAGTGATAGAAAGAGATGGAAAAAAGTTGATATTTTTCTTTTTTGTTTTTACAATAATAAATATGACTTTTAGAAATGAAAACGACAGATGGGATGCCGTTATGTTATAACAGAAACCCAAAGATATGTTAGGTATGAAATAGAAATATATAGAGTAGAATGGCGATTACATAGAAAGCAAAAGCATTGAGTATTAAGGCGATTTTTCATAATTTTCAAAAGAAAAAAACAAAAAAAAACAAAAAAAAGTATGCGCAATATTATGGAGAAAATAATAAAGAAAAGGGAAAAACAATAAAATGGTGTAAATAAAAGAAAACTAAGAAAAATTACTCAGGTGTCCCAGGAGTTAAAAAGTAAAAAATAAAAAGGATAATGAATTTTTGGTGATTCAAGATGGTAATAAGAAAGTAAATATGACAAAACGTTTTTTTTGTTTACACTTTCATAACATCAAAAAACACAAGATTATTCAATGAAGAATTTCAAATAAGAAGTATTCAAAAAATTTCGAAATCTATTTTTCAAATTTAATTTATTGACACTTTCTTCAAAATTTTATAAACTTCAAAACTTTTCAGTAATATCTAACATTTCATATTTCTAAAACGGAGGGAGTTAAAAAATATCATAGTTAAGGAAACAAGCAGCAAATAAAGTAGATACCTTACAAGCTTGTTTGTAAGTCACTATAATTGAAAACCCATGAAGTTATTCTTTTCTTTTTATAAAATGAACTTCGGCAAAGCGGTTGTTACTTTAAAATAATACCGTCCCTTGGAAAAGGTAACCAACCAAACTATATATAGTCTCGGTAAACTTCTTACGAGATTGTTAGAACATTGGGGTGGTAAAGAATTTGTGACACATGCTCCATTAGTGTCCAAGTCTATGCAGAAGAGAATTGTGTGGAGAAAATCTAATTCTAATTTAAATTAGAAATTGCATCTGTTTACAATTAATTTGTGAAAAGAAATTCAAGACCAGATTTTTTAAAAATATTTGGACTTTAAATTATTATTTTAAACTAAGTGAATGAAAATTTAAATTTAATTTCATGAATTAATCATAATATTTTATTTCTTCTTTAAATTTTATATTAAAAAAAAAAATGTTTTGGTTTCTTTAAAATTTTCGCCTGAAAATATGCCATATGCCATATACATATAAATATCGTTAATGACTATGATTGCGATTTATTACGGCTTTATGCTTCATTACTAACTATACAGCCAGAGAAACGCTTTCGTTTTATTCTTCTCCCACGCTCACAGAGACTTTGTTATAATTTATCATAAGTTGTCTTTGAAAATTCATTTTATGTTAAACCTTCTAAACTTTCATATAAGCAATAGGCGAGCTTTGAAAAAAATTCATTCTATTTTGAGCAGCTCAGGTCAGAAAAGAAGAGAAAATTCGCATTTTACGAGTCAATAAAACTTTATAACTATGTCGAGTGTAGATCACAGTTTCAAAGTCCTATTTCATAATCTAATATGCAATATAAAAACAATTTCATTTACCATTATTCTAAATTATAATACACGGGCTCCTATATTCAAAATGCCGAAAAATAACTTTGAATAACTTTGTATATAAGCGTAAATTTCTAAATCAAAAGTAATGATTTAACGAGCTGTGGAAATTTATTTTAATAAAAAACAATTTTTCATAACCAAAAGAAAAAGAAAAGCGTTACTAACTAAAAGAAAATTTATTATTAAAACGCAGCATGAAAATTATTATTGCCTATTATCAAAAATTTTTTATACACAGAAAAAAAAAATAAAGAAATTTTTCAAGGTTGTTTGATGGTATTTTTAATAATAAGAATTTTTAATAAAAGAAATGTTTTCAGAAGCCAAAGAAATGTTATCAAATCAGAAAGAATTTAAAAGAAAACGTTATTACTGTTATACTATCTCCATTATTGTGAATTATAAATCTCTAAATTATTATAATTTTCAATTTTGATTGCTAAAGTATAAATGGTATACTTGAAAAGTTCCCATTTTCTTTTAATTTAAAATTTAATTTTTAGACCCAAATAAATTAGAAAATTTAGATTCTATATTTTATTCATGAAACTAAAATTTCAAATACTTTAATTATGAAACAGCTCAGAAACTTGATTCACAATATAATTACCTCAAACATAAGCTACTAAATTTAAATTAATTCAAAAAATGTCTTATTTGAGTTGTATATTTTTTGGTTCAGATAATTTTAAGAACACAAAAAGAAATAGGCAAACCTAACTTCAGATAATAAATGCGACAGGTTAGTCTCCTGCTTAATGAAAAACTTATGACTATATGAAACAGAGGCATGACTCCTATGATGTCCCTATGCCGCCTATGATCAAAAAAATTTTCTAATATTAACAACAGAATTCAAGTTCAAACAAGTATTGGTATTAAATATTTCAATTATTTTTGTGGAAATGTGATAGAACTATGCCTAAAACGGCTTAACATAAAATTAACATATTGAACTAAATTTGAAATTTCAAAATCCAAACGTAATTTAACAAAATTCGATTCTATTGCGACATCTGTAGGGTCCCGACCGATTTAAAAAAAAAAAATTTAAATCATTAAGCTTGATCTGCGAAAACAACTAATTTCGATTTGCCTTGATTCTCTTGATCTAATTTCCCCAGATTTACTTTTACATTACATATAAAATTAATATTAACTGATTGTCATATTTACATGGTATCCAAATTCCAGCAAAACAAGAACAATAAAATATCAATAACCATCAATAAATCGTCTCCCACCTAGTTGAAACCCCAATGACGCAAGAAACTGGGGTATGGTTATGCAGGATACCCCAGGATTAAAGACGATAAAAAAAAATATTTATATTTCACAATATCCCTAAAAAACCTTTTATAACAAATTATGCAACATGCTTCCAATTATACAAATACTTCCTGAATAGATTTGCAAAATCTTTATCTTTTACTAAGTTTGCAAGATGTTCTTTTAAAAATTTAAATTTTAAGATTGCATTTGTTCTTTTGAGATTGAATAATTTAGAAATATTTAAAAAATCCCGGCTAGAGCTCTTTTCAACTTTAAAATTGGATTTACAAAAAATTTAAGGAAAAATTGGAACGATTATTTTATAATGCCATTGACAGCACTTATACATAAAACCGTTTTGTAATTGAATTTTTAACCCAATATTCTACAAAATTATAAATTCGAATTTTTATGAAAAAAGTGAAAGTGAAAACACCAATTTTTTTCACATTCAATAAATTTAAATGCCAATTACTATCAAATATAAGTGAAAATGTATCACTTCTCCCAAAACATTAAACTACAACACCTTTAAGCTCGTAATCCTTAAAAAAATCATTAAACAAAATTTTTATTTTAAAATCTATTTTAACAAAAGGCAAATTTCATTTTATTTATTACAAACTTACACGCAGCGACCCTTATATATAATAGTACCCAAACTATACATATGAAAAATTTCATTCTTTGAATGATGCTATCGATTTTTTAATCGGATTAGACTTAATTCTCATCATGTTTATATAATTGAATTATGATGAACATTTAAGAAGAAAAAAATCAGCATCTTCTTTCATCTTTACAAAATAAAATCTTAATTTGACATTAATTATATTGTCATTAATGATTTTGTTTTTCTTTTCTTTTTTTCTTTGGCAAATTACAGGTTATATGCTTCTCATCATGGCCTAGAAATTGGAAATAGTTTACAACATCAGCATCACAAGTAAGTCGTCATTTTTGTTTTTAATTCTAATACAACCATACTTATATAATGATAATTATTAAAATTTAATAAAAAGTTAACAATGCGGAATTGTCAAATTGACAAAATTACAGTCATATGAAAATGTTCTTTTTTTTAAGAAAATTGATTTGATCATCTACTTTGGAATTTTTGATTTAATCTTTTGAAAAAAAAAAAAAATGTTAAATTTTATTCAACGGAAATGGGCAGCAACTTAAAGCAAAAGTATTCTTAAAGTTTCGGAAATTGTTAAAAATCACTAAAAAATAATTTATCTTTGTTGGATTAGTGATGTTTTTTTCCAAATTGTATGTTGGTAGTTTGGATAAAAATTTATGGAAATTTTATGGTTTGCTTAATTTGATAATTAAAATAATTAATTATAGGGCACTGACCAGTCAGATATGAAGGGTAGTGCTAAAATGTTCGACCCTGTCTGAAATAATATTCTCGATATATTTGTAAATGTTCGAAATATTTAAATTGTCATTTTATAATTTACATATTATGTTTATTAATTATTTATTTTTCCGTTTCTTGTTCTATTGTAAACTTAACGTACACGTAAATAGTACACACACATGAATTAAACCAAAATAAAAATCCACACGCATTTTTCTTACTCTAACAAATTTTAATTTATTAGAAAATTTTAAAATCAGCCTATGACTAGTAAAATTGCATATTTCCAGGCGAGAAATAATGGTTTTTCCCAATAAAATGTTTTAAAAACAAAAAATAAAAATATATTCAAATTCATATTGAAAAATGTAATAAAGTATACAATTTTATTTTACAATTCTTGGAGAAAATATATGGTGGTAGACGAAATATTACCCTGCGCCTCCAAGTTGTAGTGAGTTTTTAGTAGTCACAACTAGTACCAAATTGTAAACAAATTATAATTTAATAAAATTTTAGTGTTGTACTTAATCTTTGTCTTAAAATATACTAAGCACATAAAAATAAATACAGAATATTGTTACAAGTTCTATAAACGCAGAATGTGTACATTTATAGGAAGCTTATGTAGTAAAGGAAGTTTGTGTTTGTATAGGAAGGAAAAGAGAACGTATTTCCCTTCTGAAAAGCTTAGTAATTTAGTTATAATTGCATGTATTTGCCTAAATATGATTGTTTAATAAAATACGTTTAAATTGAACATGACAAAATAAAATCCTTATAAATAATTATTGAATGTCCTTATTGAAGATTATTTAATATAATTATACGCATTGCAACTACACAAACACATCTATATATTGTCATTGTATAGTTGATATATACGTAGAAGAAAATTTTCGAATTTTATAAGAAATATTATTGAATGACACAATATTCATTTTAAGTACCACAATATACATATATTAATATTATATAAAAATAAATTATATTTTTATTGCATATACAAAATTCGATAAACATAAAAATAAATATTTTTATTTGTTAATATATCCAATTTTTTATTATATTGAAGAAACATGATTAGATTATTTTTACTATATGGCAATATTATATATTAATTCCATGCTCATAAAACTAAAATCAATTGAATATTTTATATTGTCCTTAAATTTATCTTTCTAATAAATAAAATCATGCCATACTGCCACGAACCTTTTGCCCCACTTGATTTCCTTAAAATCTACAAAAATCTTCAAATTTACAAAGATACACGCTCTGTGATTAAGATACAGCTACGTCATTTGCTAAACATTGTCACAAAATTTTGTTGGTTTTACATAAGATGTTTACGTTTACGATTTTTAAGTCGCATTTTTTTAAATGACGCACTTTAAACTTAGTTAGCGGTGGCATATGCTAACTACACTAATCTACTGCGATTGTCTAAACGATTTTTACTTTTCATAAGATATCATATTTTAATATGAAAACTCGAATAACAAGCGAACAATAGAAGGCAGTAAATAAACTTGCTGATGCGTAAAAACACTTTCGTTTTTTTTTTTCAAAATTTTCATACAATGTTCATTTTGATTTAAAGTGTAACAATTAAATTTTATTGTTTACTATAGTCAACGCTTTTTAACAATTATTAATAAAATTCATGCTACTGATGCGACATCAAAAACAGTTATTTGATAATATGAATTATATTATAAAATATTACAATGGCATAAGAGCAACACTATCTTGTATGACCGCTATTGACTATTAAAATATTTTAGTTATAATACCATCTGTATATAGTGATAATAATCATATTATGTGTGCATATTTAAAAATTATACCATTTACAATTAACACACACACACATAAGTATATGTTTAAATTTATACCAGATACCACATAAAAATTTTGTATTCTTCCAAATTAATAATAATAAAATTTTAAGCCATTAAATAAATAAAGGTCATGACATCAAAATGATTCTTAAATATGTACATATATATATGAGTATATGTATATATACATATATACTTACTTACTTTTTGTATGATTCTTTTAATCACTTTTTTTATATAACTTCCTCCCTTTGAAAATTTTAATATTTTTATGCACGTAAAAATGAAAAGAAGAGCAAAACGAATGAAACAGAAAAAAATTACAAAAACAAAAAACATTGCCTTTTAAAAAAAAAATTTCTTTAACTTTCAAGAGTCTTTATGTCCTTATTAAATTTCTTTCAATATAATACGTAGGTGTATATATGTATGTATATATATTTATATAAACATGAATAAAGTATGTATGTATGTTTATATTTGCTACATTCTTTCCTTAATTTTTCTACACGTTTTATATATGCACAAACATACATACATCCATACATAAATATTTATCAATACATATCCTATATGTACAAATTTCTTTTTGTATTCCTTTATTTAACCCCAGCCATCAATTTTGCAAAATATTACAGACATTCATACACACTTACAAATAGAACTATTCATATGTATGTAACTAAAGCTCTATAGTTATTGTATAAAATTTTTTTTCGCAAAGGTAAATGAAATCTACAAAATAAATTACTCTATATTTTATACCGTATACCGTATACTCTCACTTCACTCCAGCCGAGTAAATATTTTTTTCATGTTTAATTTCTAAACAAAGGGAAATTTTTTCTTTTAACAGTATATTTTATATTATTATTATTATTATTCTTATATAAATTATAATTGAGGTATGAATGTGTGTTAGTATATAGCATATGGGTTAATAATAAATGTACATATACAGAATTATTAAAAAAATTCCTATTTTATAAAAATGTTTACAATAGTATTTGAAAATAAAACACATAAAAAGCAAAAAAAAAAACTAAAATCCAACATGGTTTCTAGAAATTGCCATACTATTTTGAAAGCGACACAGCAACAAATTTTTAAAAGTGTTTGTAAATATAAAAATGGTAGATAAACAACTACATTGAAATCAAATTTTATTCAACATATAAAAGTGTTGGTAATATAAGTATACATATTTTTATATACATATAATAAAATTTCCATACACTACACATTTAAAATTTTTCGAAGAGTAAAAAGAGACAAAAACACATGCACAGCCAAACAAGCATGTGTAAATGATACAAGAAATTAATGTTATTTTTTATGATTTTTTTTTTTTGTAGTAGTTGTTTTTTACTAAATTTTATATTTTTATAATTTTATAATTTATAACACATATCATTAAATCGGAAAGACAGGTGAACTATATCTGTCTTCTTTAATAACTATGCATTAGCAAATTGTATGTATGGAAATAATAATATATTTGTGCGTTTGTAAATATTTGTTTAAAATATTTAGGAAAGTGCGAACGTAACATATGTATATACACATATTAATATTGATATACAATACATACTTGCACACATTTGTGCATACATACATACATATATGGCCACATGCATATTATAATTTTTAAACTTTTATTTCATTAATTTAAAATACTTAGTAATACATATCTAAGTATGTATGTAACAGATTTACAGGTTTTTTAATATTCAAAATTATGAAGTTGAATACACACATACATACTTCTACTATATAATATGTAAATGCTTCTCATAATAATTACATATGTATTTACATATATAGGTTGTACATTGTATTTTTTATAAGAATATTATTTTAAAATACTTAGTGTTCATCCATATGTGCATACTTATGATATTGTAATTATTGCAAATTTTATAAGATTTATAATATATGATGTAAGTACCTATGTATGTACATATGTATGTACTTGCTTATTGTATTAATTGTGTGAAAAATTCATTTTTATATAATATGTAAATGCAAATCATATAAAACTCCACACACTTAATATGTATGTTACCATATGTATAAAATTTTGCTAAATTTTAAAAAATTGAAATTATTTTATATATCAACATACGTACAATATATATGTACATATGTATGTACATATTTACATTTAATTTATGTACATTTGTATGTAAACACGTATGTATGTATATATTAAATTAATTAGGAATTTTTTAATTTGGTTAATTAGAAAAATTATGATTTTGATTTTTATGATCAAAATTATTTGTATAAATGAATCTATGTATGTAGCACAACATTCAGATTAATGATCAATGACAGTACTGAGGTGTTTTTTATATGTATAAACATGCATACACACATAGGCACATTAAGTAGTTAAATATATTTTTTTAAACGTAGCATTATCGACAATATTTATTTTGAATGATAATAATTTTTATTTTGTCTCCTAAAGAATTTTGAAAATTATTTTTCACTCAATTAAAATAAATATTATTTAAAACAAAACTATTAATAATATAAAATTAAATTTCTTTTGAAAAAAAATGCAATAAATTTTCTATTCAAATAAAGATGTCGCCCTATAATACTGTCTATCCTATTCTTTTAATTAAAACGTGAGCATTGCAAAGAGTAATAGGTTCAAAAATTTTTATGATTTCTACTATTTTAATAACGGAAATAAAGAGACTTATTTCGAATATTCGTACAACT